TGGCTGCACCAGGATCTGCAGCCTCCCATAGGGCCCCATAGAACCCCATAGAACCCTATAGAGCCCCATAGAGTTCCACAGGGCTCCATAGAACCCCACAAAACCCCACAGAACCCCATAAAACCCCATAGTGCCCCATGGAATCCCTTAGAACTCCATAGGACTCCATAGCGCCCCATAGCGCCCCCTGCTGGCTGCTCCAGGATCTACAGCCTCCCATCGCGCCCCATAGAGCCCCATAGATACCATAGAGCCCCATAGCACCCCATAGAGCCCCATAAAACCCCATAGTGCTCCATAGAACCCATTGGAACTCCATAGACCCCCATAGCGCCCTCTGCTGGCTGCACGCGGATCTGCAGGTAGCCCATAGACCCCATAGAGCCCCATAGCGCCCCCTGCTGGCTGCACCAGGATCTGCAGCCTCCCATAGCGCCCCATAGACACCATAGACCCCATAGAGCCCCATAGACCCCATAGCGCCCCACAGCGCCCCTCTCACCGGTGACGCGCAGCGTGTCGCCCCCTATGGGCTGCACGCGGATCTGCAGCCGGCCGCGCCGCTCCGTGTGATCCACGCCGCACAGGCTGGGCACGCTTTGCACGCAGCGCTTGTGAACGTTCATCTCACAGCCTGCGGGCACCGGGGGGCGTTGCACCAGCAGTCGTGCGCGGGGGGGGGGCGGGGGGGCGGGTTGCACGAGGGGGTTTGCACGAGGATGCACGAGGAGGGTTGCACGAGCGGCTTTGCACGAGGAGCTTTGCACGGTGGGGTTGCGCAGGGAGGGTTTTGCACGAGGAGATTTGCACAGGACGTTTTGTGCGGGGAGCTTTGCACGGGGGGGTTTGGCACGAGGACGCCGACAGCTTCACACCGACGCTTGTGCACGGGGAGTTTTTGCACGGGGAGCTTTGCACGAGGGCGTTCACACTGCTGCCTTTACAGCAGCGCTCGTGCGAGACGCAGCAGCCTTGCACAAGCACTTCCTTGCACAAGCACCACAGCACAACCACAGGAGCAGAAAAGAGCAGCGCTGCACAAGACACCATTGCACACTCACTGTTGCACACTCACTGTTGCACACTCACTGTTGCACAACCCCCCCGTTGCACGAGGACCCCTCTCCCCTCCCCCAAACCCCTCACACCCACCCCCCTTCCCTCCCCATTGCCCGCCCCCGCCCTTGCACGCTGCTTGCACGCTGCTTGCACACTCACACGAGCACTTCATGCCCTGGTGCACCAGGCCGTAGAGCAGCGACCCGCAGTGGTCGCAGAAGGTTGGGCTGCTGTAGGTGTGAACCTTGAACTTGTGCTTATTGCGGGGGTCCTGCGGGCACACGCGCGTGCAAAAGGGGGCACGAGAGTGTGAGGGGGGGGGGCTCGAATCTGACCCGGCGTTGGGCCCAAAACGGACCCGAATTCGGGCAAAATTGGCCCAAAATGGAGCTAAAAGGAGCCCCAAATCAGCCCCAGAATGGCTGCAAAGTGACTCAAAAACGAGTCCCCAAATGGCCCCAAAACGACCCAAATTCAACCCAAAATGAACCCCAAAATTGACCCCAAATTCAACCCAAAATGAGGCCCCGAATTGACCCCAAATTGACCCAAATTCGCCCCAAATTGACCCAAAATGAGCCCCCAAATTGACCCCAAATTGACCCAAATTCAACCCAAAATGAGCCCCAAATCAGCCCCAAATTGATCCAAACTTGGGTCCAAAATGAGTCCCCAAAAATGGCCCCAAATTGGCCCAGAATTGACCCAAAAATGGCCTTTAGGGTCAGCCCCAAATCGACCCCAAATCACCCCAAAATAACCCTAAAAATGACCTTTAGGGTCAGCCCCAAATCACACAGAATCGACCCCAAAATTCAGTCCCAAATGCCCCCAAAATGACCC